ACCCTGAAAAGGATAAGCGGAAGCGAATGGATGGATGCAGCAGTTAGCTTGTCAGTGATGGTCAAGCTGAAATGGTCATTTCTGATAGGTGCACAATGCGCTACTTTCAATTTGAGACAATGTTCATTCTTAAAAAAAAAGAAAAAAAAATCACACACTATGCAAATAAAAACACAGTATGTATCAGCATGCATAATAAAATGTTCTCCAATGAATTGTACTAACAGAATATGAGACATAGTGCTTCTTTAAGACACCATTCTGAAATGGAAAGCACAGGAGGAATAATAATGATCCATTAGGCGTGGTTGGTGCTAGACTGGATCAGCCATGGGCATGTTCTCTTCTGCTGTGATTCAGGAACTGATGACGCTCTGCAGAGTTACAAATGTTGCACCATAATTACCCAACATAAACGTGGGTGAGTTTCATACTGTCACAATGGCTGATGTTCGTATTAGGCATGTCCAGAGTTCAAATGGTTTACTGTATGTACAAGTAATTCCTAAGCCAAAAGCTCAGCATTCAGACTGCTCCAAATGCAAGCGAGAGGGGCAGCCAATCAGAAGAAAGGTGCCTAAAAGGAGGAGGAAACTAAGTTGTTTCACAGAACCAGTGCTTTCACAGCACTGATTGAACAAACAAATCTCAGTGTCTGTGCCCACCAAAAAAGAGATGGATTAATAAAAATCTGAATATAGTCTCAGAGCTCACAGTCACCACCCTCAATATATTTGCTTTTTCTAACAGATACCCAAAAGCTTTCAAAACTGCAACAGATGTTTTTATAAAAATAAGAAAGAATGAAAGTAATGATCTTATGCTGTCAGATAAATATCAAAAATATAGTTTTGTTACAAAAAAAGTTTTTTTTAAGTAATTAAAAAGTGCAGTGTTTCTCTGAAATGTGGTGGGATGGCTTTAAAAAAAAACTGGAATAGTCAAACACATGTTTGGTTGGCACACTAAGGGGATTCTTTTTGAAAACTGGAACTGATAATAAACTTGATGAGAGACACACTATGTGAGAGAGTATAAAAAAATTCCATGTGCATATACAGTGGGAAGTTGTGATGTGAGGATTTTTCTCAATAGGATTTTACAAGCAGTGAGAGTGTTACT